CTCACACCTCTAATCTTAGCTATTAAGGGGGCTAGGATCTGGGGATTGCAGTTCAAAGCTAGCCCAGTCAGGAAAGTCCAGGAGATTCTTAGCTCCAGTTGAACCACCAGAAAAAGGGAAGTGGAACTGTGGCTCAAGTGGTAGAGTGCTAGCCTTGAGCAAAAGAGCTCAGGACCCACCCTGAGTTCAAGCCCCACAACCAACAACAACAACAAAATAAAAGCCCCTGGCACATGACATCCAGTTAACGGAGAACATTAGTTAGTAACAATGGCTTTTGTGGCCCATTAGGTTAGGGAGCTTTGCTTAGTCGGTGGTGGGAGCCTTGGGAAGTTATTGCGCATGAGCATGGTTTTAAATGGTTTAATGGAAAGCTATGAGGACAGAGCTTAGGGCTGGTCATCTTCTCAAGTCTCTGTTCCTATCCACCTTCTAGAGGTGGAGGTTTGGGGACTGAGGGCTGATCCTAGGGATCCTTCCTGCTTCCCTCCCCAAGGGTCCTCAGTGACTTGGCATGGCAGCCTCTAGAAACCCTTGTCTTTCCATCCCAGTGGTTAGCTTTATGGAAGTAGGAGTGAGACATTGAGGTGACTTATGCAGCATATAGGGTTCATGGTGATACGTGCCTTTAGTCCCAGCACTTAGGAGGCTGAGGAGGAGGATAAGAGACTGAGGAAGAGGATTGCTTGAGCTCAGAATTTTGAGGCCAGTCTGAACAAAATTCTCCCTTAAAAAAATTTTTTTTACTAAGTAGTTGTACAAAAGAGGATACAATTCCCCCAAATCAGGTTATGAGTATAATGCATCTTGATCAGTGTCACCCTTCCATTGTTATCTCTTAAAAAAAAAATTGAGAATGGAGTTGTGGCTCAGATGGTAGCATGCTAGCCTTGAGCAAAAAAGCACAGCACCAAGGCCATGACTTCAAGCCCCAGGACCAGCACACACACACAAAATTAAAAATAAATAAATAGATATATTTTAAAAAAAAGTGTTAGGCACTGGTGGCTCACCCCTGTAATCCTAGTTATTCAAGATACTGAGATCTGAGGATCACAGTTTGAAGCCAGCCCAAGCAGGAAATCTGTGAGACTCTTACCTCCAATTACAGAAAAAGCCAGAAGTGGAGCTGTGGCTCAAGTGGTAGAGTGCTTGTCTTGAGCAAAAGGAACTCAGGGACAGAACCCAGGCCCAGAGTTCAAGCTCTAGGACCTGCCCCCAAACAAAAAACAAAACAAAAAAGATCCCCAGCCAAACAAAGAAAACCCTCCCCCCAAAAAGCAAAACAAAAATAACAAAAAAGCACATAGCATTCTGAGCAGGACTGGTGTGGCATGTCATTCCACTGGGCACTTGGACGCGACTTAGCTGTGGTCTGGGCCCAGACTGGGTGATGCTGTCTCCAGTGGAGCCGTGGGGAGGGCCACATCTGAATGAATGGAATGTGGCCCTCTCAGGACCCATACTTAACTGGTGCCTGGCCCAGCCAAGCCCTTTGCTTCTGTAAGTCTTTCTATAGCAGTTGAGTTATGCCAGGTCAGCCAAGGACATTTTAGGTCTCTGGGGCTTTGGGCAGGGCATTACTAGGTATTGTTCGCCTAGGATCTAAGTGCCTTTAGAGATAGTGGGGGGCTCTGGAAATATTCCAGGGACTTTCCCCAACAGCTGGTCTAGAGAGAGCAATGCACTTGACTAAGGTCTTATGGCATCCTCCTTATATATGTCACCTCCTTCTGTTCTTGTGTCCCTTGCCTGGACGCCTGGCCTCCTTCCCAGACAGACGTTTATACAGCCTCCCTCTTGTGGGCTCCTCATGAACTTGTTTATCCTTCTTTTATTGTAATCTTGCCGTGCCCTACCAGGCACACATACTACATGATGTGTCTGGCCTCCTGTCTTCTCCAGCCATTGCTTGTGGTGGAGCCTCCCAGACAGCCGTCAGCACAGAGGTGTAGATCTTAGGCTTAGGAGCCATTCTGCCTGGGTTTGAATGCCAACCCTGACCCTTCTAAGCCTGATGGTCCACCTTCCTGAAAGCAGTGCTTACTTAGGCTAGGGTGGGGTGCTTAACCAAGTGTGATACTTAACCGAGTGCTGGTGCTGCTGTGGTGATTTGGTATACCAGGACTGGCTGGCCTGGCATCATTGGGCAGACCCAGTCCTTCACAGGGAGGCATAGGCCATTTCTCAAACATGGTGTCTTGGTGTGCCTTCTGGGAAGTCAGTAGTTCTATTTCCCTCTTCCAAGAAAGGAGGGAGAAATCCCTATTGAGCTTTTATGAAATGGGAAACAGATTTGTACCATTCTAACACTTCACAGTGGCAAGTGGTAGCTGTGCTGTGCTGTGCTGATGGCAGTGAGGACATTGTGACCATGGTAGTGGACAGCTGGTGTGGCTGTAGGCTGGCCAGTATGAGGAATTGCCTGTGCCCACACAGCTCTCCCTTCTTGCCTGTACCCGGCCACCTCGCACCTTAGTCCCAGCATTATATACTAGAACACGTGGGAGGTGCAAAGTCCTGATGGCATTTTCCAGGCCCTGGTGGGTTTGGGGTGCCAGTGGCTGATGCCGTGGAATGTGGGGATTAAGAGCAAGAGAGGTGCTGATTCAGAGCTCAGTGAAGTGTTTCCCAATGGGGAGCTTGAGCAAGTTTCTATGAGGCCCTCAGGATCTGGAGGCCAAGCAGTTAGTAAAGCTTTGCAGGGTGAGCAAATGCGCTTTGCACCCGTTTGTGGAGATGTACTGGAGATCAGATTTGCTTCCTGTACCAGCATCCTGATAAGGCTTTTGAGGGGCCATGGTATCATTTGGCCCAGTTCCATTTTACGGGTGAACAAAGTAAGGCCCTGCAGCTGATGCTTGCCTTAGGTGCTGACAGGTTAGTTCAAAGCTGTGAGTGGAGTAAGATATCCTGATACCTCCAGGGCACTTGCTGCAGGTGAGGAGGAAGAAGGGGAGGAATAGGAGGAAGCAGAGAAGGAGGGATTTCATTAAGGTTATTACTGGTACCTTGCTCTTCTAACCTGGTCAGGGTCCTGGGCAGTGCCTAATTTAGGATGTAAACTTGAGTCTCCTGACTCTGTGCTGTTCAGAACACCTAGAGGCACCTTCCAGAGTCCTTGCCTTGGTCCCTTTAAAAGGAGTCTGTCTAGAGTAGGTCAGCAGGTACCGTGTGTGTGTGTGTGTGTGTGTGTGTGTGTGTGTGTGTGTGTGTGTGTGTCTGTGTGTGTGTGTGTGTGTGTGTGTGTGTGTGTGTGTGTGTGTGTGTGTGTCCGTCCCTGGGGTTTGGACTCAGGTCCTGGGCTCTCCCTTTTTTCGGTCAAGGCTACCATTCTACCACTTTGAGCCACAGCTCCACTTCTGGCTTTTTTTGGTAGTTAGTTGGAGTTAAGAGTCTCACAGAGACTTTCCTGCCTAGGCTGGCTTCCAACTGTTGATCTTCAGATCTCATCCTCCTGAATAGCTAGGATTACAGGCATGAGACACTGGTGCCTGGCTCATCTGATACTTTTTGCTCTTTCTATCCTCAGCTGCCTGATTTTCAGAGGAGCTGGTTCCTGTCCCGTCCTCCCTTATGGTTGGGCTCCGAGGTGTGTGCTAAGCCCCCAGGCCTCTGTGCTGGCTGCAGGCTCTTGTGGTACTGAGCCTCAGCAAGTCTGGAGGGACAAGTTGCTTTCATGTGGGCCTCCTTGGTCTCAGCAGGTCTCATGTTTGCCCACCAGGCCTCCAGGAGATTAGGGGGCTTCTGTGACTCCACATGCCTCCAGGCTTTTCCCTGGCTCTGAGTCATCCCAGCTGCTTGCCTTCCCCTTGCTTCTGGCCATAGGATCTGAGGCTTTTCAATGTTCCCAAGTCATCTATAGCTGGCTGGTTTGGGGGTATCCTTTGGGCAGTCTCCCCATCACTAAAGCTAAGCCTCTTGCTGGCACTAGATAACTTCCTTTTGTCCTTTTTGAGTCAGGGTCTTGCTGTAGAGCCCAGGCTGGCCTTGAATTCTTGATTTTCTGCCTCAGTCTCCCAAGTGCTGAGATTACAGATGCTCACGTCTTTTTAAGACCTGGCAAGGCTGCTGATCCCTGCAACGAATTCCTAGGATTTACCTATGTCTGGAAGGACCCCCTAGCTACTCACATAGTGTGACACAAAGGCTGGAAGGCCGGTCTTTATCTCTGGACTGAACACACCATCATATTAGTTCTGCTGCTCTTAAGTATGAGATTATGCCATCAGCAAGGTGCCTTGTGCTGTCCTTTGGCATCCTCTAAGATGTCAAATACCTTTTCAGGTAGTACTTCTGGCTGCTAGCTACCAGGAAGCAGCCTGTGGCTGGTTTGCTCTTTTCTAGCTTACCATGTGACTAGGACTGAGTTGTTTTTTTTCTCTCTGGGCCTTGGCTTTGTGAGGCGTTTTCAGCCCCATCACTTGGACATACTTCTGCCAGTCACTTTTCTTCCTCCTGGGGTGATGGGAGGGGCCTGGCAACTGAGCTGGCATAGGGCAGAGGCCAGAAGCCAACACCATGGACACTTTGACTACCAGCTGGTCCTGAGAAGATATTAGTCTTTTCTTCTTCCTTATTTGTAGGACAGTTAAGAAAACTGGGACCTGGAGGGGAAGGGACTTGTCTGAGTCACCTGGGGAGTCAGGCAGAGCTATAACTCTGTCTGCCAAGGGCTCTTACTACTCCTGCCTGCCACTCTCTTGAAAGGAACCAGAGTGCCCACTGGTAGGAGGGTTTGGGGACATGTGTGTCCTTTTGCATGAAGGGTACCTTCAGGTGGGCCCTTCCTGCTATCCTAGACAGATTTGGGGGAGTACTTTCTCTTTGTGAGGTCTAGAAGGTAACAGCTGGCGTTCCTGAAAGGGTTGGGGCAAGGAGCAGGCTTCCAGCATTGTGGTTGGTGGCTCAGGGTGCCCTAGAGCCACCTCCCTCCCTGCTTTTCCCTCCCTCCTAGGAGGGACTGGGTGGACAGTAATGCCATTTGTTCTGGCTCTCAGATTAGATGCAGCTGAGTAAAGTAAAGAGTGTGGAGCTGTTGAGAGCCAAGCCAGAGGAGCTGAGCAGCCGCTGCCTGGACTCCTGGAACTCTGGTGGGTCTTGTCATTCCCCTGTCTCCCTGTTCTTTCCTGGCGTCCTGTGCTCTCTGACTGCTGTACCTAATCCCTTACTGTGTCCACATATGCTCTGTGCATGTGCACACCAGCCTAAGAGGGGCCTCTAGTATGTAGCTGGCCCCTAGCACTGGCCAGGATACTATCTAATTGGGATCCGAAGCAGGTTATGCAGTTCCAGGCACTGACCTGACAGATTGCCGAGGGAGAAGGAGATAGGAAGAGGTGACAGAAGGAGTTGAAGAAGAGCTGAGTTTCTCTTGTAGCTTACTGGGGGGCTGGGAAGGTGGCTCAGTGGTAGAGCACTTGCCTTGCATGCATGAGGCCCTGGGTTCGATTCCTCAGCACCACATAAGCAGAAAAAAAAAGCCGGAAGTGGTGCTATGGCTCAAGTGTTAGCATGCTAGCCTTGAGCTGAAGAGTTGAGGACAGCGCCCAGGCCCAGAGTTCAGGCCCCACAACCGCCCCCCCCCCAAAAAAAAAAAAAAAAAAAGCTTATTGGGACAGCCAGGTATCCACAGAGACCCACCTGGAGCCAAGTCCAAGAGCTGAGAGTTTATCCTGGGTACAGTGAGCACTGGGGCACTCAGTTGCCACTCAGATGTACCAGAAGCATTTGTGCCTCCAGCCCCAGAGACCATGAGAGCAGGGCTTGCTCTCATGAGGCACCCCAGAAAGCTTCCAAGTTTGGCGTATTGGTGGGGCCTGAATTTGTGGGTCTGCAAAGAATCTGGTAGCAACTATCATCAACTTCTCAAAAGATTCTGTGACTCTAGCAGGTCCCAGCTTCTGCTAGGATCTGTGCACACCTTGTTGAAGAAACGGGTTCAGAGGAGTAATAGCCGGGGCTCTGAAATGTCTAGAGGAACTCTTCCTGCTGAGCTCCTTACTCAGCCCCCAACCTCCTGGCTGTTGGGGCCTGGCTGACTTCAGGGGACCCTGCCTCCTCGTGCCTCCTCGTCCTGGGGATGGTTGGGAAGCTGATGTGGATTACATACATGTCTTGTTCTGCATCTGTGAAATGGAGTATCCCTGCTTCTAGAACCTCTCAGCTGGCAGCCCAGAGCTGGCCATGCTGGAGGCTAGGGGCTTAGCAGGAGGGGAAGATAGGAGACTCTCAGGAACAAATCAATCTTTACTTACTTGGGAGCAAATGACAAATAAGCAGGTAATGATTGGGAAATGCCTGGCACAGACCAAGCCCATGAAACATGTTTTAGTCACCATTGTCCTTGGCCTGGCATTCCAGCTGAGATCACCTGCTTCAACCCTCACTCCTGCCCCCACCTCTTCCCTCGTATGAGGCCTTTGACTGGGGCTGACTGAGGTCCTGACTCTCTAGAAGCCATGGTACCTGCCTCCAGTCAAGCTTTCTGTGGGGCTGGAATGAAGTTTGTTATTGCTAGAGAAGCCAGCTCAGCAGTCTAGGGCTTGTGACCTGCAGATAGACTTTGAGGTTGTGAGGTAGAGATGCAGGGGCACTGGTACACAGATAGAAATTAATAGGAGGGGCTGGGAAGGTGGCTCCGTGGTAGAGTGCTTGCCTTGCATGCATGAGGCCCTAGGTTCGATTCCTCAGCACCACATAAGCAAAAAGAAAAAAGTCGGAAGTGGCACTGTGGCTCAAGTGGTAGAGTGCTAGCCTTGAGCTGAAGAGCTGAGGGACAGTGCCCAGGCCCCCCCAAAAAAAGAAGTTAATAGGAACTTGGCCAGGAGCTTGAAAGATACTGTCAATAAGGGACATTATGTAATGATTTTTTTTTTTTTCAGTCCTGGGACTTGAACTCAGGGCCTGGGCACTGTCCTGAGCTTCTTTTGCTCAAGGCTAGCACTCTACCACTTGGGCCACAGTGCCACTTCCCACTTTTTCTGTTTATGTGGTACTGAGGAATCAAACCCAGGGCTTCATGCATGCGAGGCAAGCACTCTACCACTAAGCCACATTCCAGCCCGATGTTATGATATTTGTAAGGAAGTGTTCTTTTCCTTCTGAGTGCTTGGACCTAAGAAAATAATTCAGGGTGGATTGACTGTCCTCGGCAGATTTAGGGGTTGTCCTCGGCAGATTTAGGGGTTGGCCAAGAGCTGTGTTTGGGAAGGTTCCTGGACTGGTGAACAGTTCCCTGCCTCTCCCCTCCCACCAGTGAGAGGGGGGCGGGGGCGGGGAGCTTGTACTTGGGTCTGAGGGCAGCAGCTGGCCTGACCTGCCTCCCTCCCCACACATCCCCTCCTCCAGGCCATGTGTTTGTTTATTTGCTCAGCAAACTCTCTCTTCAGAGCTATGCAAAGGTAAGCTCTCCACTTAGGCCCACTGAAAAAAAGACAATTTCATCAAGTGGGGTTGAGGTTCCTTATGTTTTTTTTTCTCAGACCTTCCTGTGTGCCAGGGAGTCCAGAACAAAATTCCTGAGTTGAGAACCAGGGAGTAAGCAGCCCTTCATGCTTGGTGAGCCTGTTGATTGATGGAGAATTTGCAGGGCTGCTTCCAGGAAGGCTCATTAGCTGCTGCTTGTGATGTTAAAACACTCACAACATGGATTGGAACAAAAACAGAGCAAGTCACTGCAAGGGGGCCAGAGATGGGACGGGCAGGGTGCCTAGCCAGGGCAGCTGTCAGGTGAGCAGAGGGGCTGTGCTGCTGAGTAGTGAATGCACCAGGCTTTGGGCTAAAGTGCTCAGTCACCTCTCCCTGTGCTAGAACCTCCGGGAATTTAGCTCCTTATCTATAGAATGGGAGAATAGAGATCATGTTGCTGTTCAAAGGGTGAAATATTAGTGCATGATGCAAAAGTGGTGTCTAGGAAATGGAAGTGACTATTATTAGTTCCTTTAGTCCCATAGGATTCAGAAAAGGAGAAGATGGTTGGTGAGGGTACAGCTGTACAAGCACCTCCTGTGGGCAGAACCCTGCTCTGCCTTGGAAGGCTTTTGGTGGAGCTGGGTGCCCAGGGTTGTAGCTGGGGGAAACATTTGATGCTGGGCACAGCCCTGGAGATCCAGAGGAGTGTTCAACAGGGACTTTTGATTCACATCAGGCAAAATCAACTCTCAACTGGGACTGCCGTGAAGGAGGATGGGCAAGTGGTTTAACAGACAAGGAAAGGGGCCAAGGTAGGTGGTAACACAGGCCATCCTGGTGGCACGATCCTAGGGGTCCTTTCCTGTCTTTGGGCCTCAGTGTCTTCATGTGGTTGCTGCAGGGTGGGCTGTGACCCTAGTGTCACAGGTGATTGACAGGTGACAATTTGGCTCCAAGCCAGGTTCAGAAAGGCACTGTGGGTGGTGTTGGGGGATGGGGCCCATGAATTCCCGCAGAGGAGGGATTTGCTTCTGGGCTCAGCCTCCCAGGGATGTAATTGTGCCAGAGAAACTGCACAGCTGGGAAGCAAATGTGGAGGATTTTCTTCACAGCACTGGCTGTGGTGGGTGCGGCAGGCCGAGGCAGGGTAACTGGTCGAGTGGGTGGGTATGGGGTGTGGCTGGGTAGTGGGGTGATTGTGACAGGCTGGGAGGCAGTAGGCCAGCTGTGGGAGTGGCTTTGGGTGCCCGTGGGACTGCCAGTACCTGGGCCTGCAGCTGCCGCCACCACCCTGTCCTCCCAGGTCCCTGTCCAAGCCCATACCACACCACTCGCTTGCTTTACCTGCTTCAGAGCTGCCTGCAGGGCTCTTCCTGCACTGGCCTCCATCAGCTCCCTGAATCTGTGTGGCCTGAGTGCCATGGTGCTGCCTTTCAGCAAGCTTGTCTGTGCATTGATGTGCACGGGATTAGAGTGTGTTCTCAGGATGGTGGGTGCATGGCATTCTCAGGAGTGGCCCAGTCCAGAATAAAATGTGCTTCAGGGGCTGGGAAGGTGGCTTAGTGGTAGAGCACTTGCCTTGCATGCATGAGGCCCTGGGTTCCATTCCTCAGCACCACATCAGCAGAAAAAGCCGGAAGTGGGTCTGAGGCTCAAGTGGTAGAGCATTAGTCTACAGTTGAAGATCTGAGGGACAGTGTCCAGGCCCAGAGCTCAGGCTCCACCACCACCACCACCAACAAAAAAGTGCTTCAGGGTCTGGGAGCATGGCTTAGTGGTAGAGTGCTTGCCTAGCATGCATGAGGCCCAGGGTTCGATTCCTCCGTACCACATAAACAGAAAAAACTGTAAGTGGTGCTGTGGCTCAAGTGGTAGAGTGCTAGCCTTGAGCAAAAGAAGCTCAGGGAGAGAGTCCAGGCCCTGAGTTCAAGCCTCAGGACTGGCTAAATAAATAAATAAAATGTGACAGGGTGCTAGATTTGTCCCTCAAGTACCCTGGTCATTGTTGCTTCAAGACCTAAAACCAAGATGCCCCAGAGCCTTTAGAAACCTTTGTTGAAGGTCTGAGTCCCACTGATGCTAAACAGACTTGGAGAACAGGGGCGTGGGGGGGGGGGGGCTGCTGGGTCATCTACTCATCCAAACTCTGGTGATGTCAAATCTCTGTTTCCTAAAGCTCATTCTCTTACTCCTCTTCTCTGGCTTCAACTTGACTTCCTATTAATTTGGTATGTGTCATTGGGCAGGTTTCTTCCTGAGCCTCAGTTTTCAAATCTGTTAAATGGGTAATCATTTTATTTGTTTGTTTTTTTGGTCCGGTCGTGGTGCCTGAACTCTGGGCCTGGGTGCTGTCCCTCAGCTCTTCAGCTCAAGGCTAGCACTCTACCACTTGAGCCAGAGCGCCACTTCCGGCTTTTTTCTTTTTGCTTATGTGGTGCTGAGGAATCAAACCCAGGGCCTCAAGCATGCAAGGCAAGCGCTGTACCACTGAGCCACCTTCCCAGCCCAAATGGGTAAACATTTTATTATCTTGTACCAAGCTGAGTGTACCAGAAAGTCTTGGAATCTGCCCCTTGAGATAGATAAGCAGTGTGGGGGGAAAAAAAAAACAACAACAATTTAAAACTGAAAGACCTGTTCCCAGGGGTAGAGGAAGGGAAACTGAGGCTCAGAGAAGTTG